GCCACCCAACCACACACACACCACACACACACCCACACACACAGAGAGAGAGAGAGAGAGACAGACACACACACACACCACATACACATACACATGCACACCACACACACACACCACACACACCACATACACCACACACACACATGCATGCACATGCACACACACGCACACATACACACACCACACACACACACACACACACACACACACACACACACACACACACACAGAGACAGACCACACACACACACCACACATGCACACACACACACACAAAGACATACACACACACACCACACACACACATGCACACACACACACCCCACACACACATATGAATACACACACACCACACACATGCACACACACAAACACACACCACACATGCACACACATGCACACATATATACACACACACACACACACCACACATGCACACACATGCACACATATATACACACACACACACACACCACACATGCACGCACACGCGCGCGCACACACACACACACACACACACCGCACACCACACAAATGCGCGCGCACACACACACACACACACATGCACACACACAGTGAAAGAAATAAATTTTTAAAGCATTTATTATAAAAATGTGGAAGTTGGAGAGTAACCTCTATTGGGGGGGTCAAAAAAAAAATATCAAAAGGTACCTGACTTGTTTGTGCCTTGTATTTTGGGATGCTTGATCGCCAGAATTGGCTGGGCGTTCTGAGCTCCTGCCATGGTAGCCTCCTTAGCATCTTGACTGTCCCTCTGTGCTGTGTCTAGGTCGCCTCTTTGCCCCTGTGGCTGCCGAAGTCCTTAAGCCCTGGTTCCGGGCGGGAGCTGCAGAGACTGTCCTACTTAGGGGCCTTCTTCAGCTTCTCGGTCTTTGCGGAGGATGATGTGAGTACACACTTGATGCCTCTGCAGCCCTCCCCAGTATGCTGTATGCTGACTGAATAGTTCCCCTCTCTTTCCAGGCAAAGGTGGTTGAGAAATACTTCTCAGGGCCCACCATTACCCTGGAGAACACCCGTGTCGTCAGCCAGTCACTACAGCATTACCTGGAGCTGGGACGGGTAGGTTTTCTGAAGGGAAGCCAGGGGAGAGGGCCTCCCTAGGGAGGAGAGGCCTGTTTCTTAGGTCCACTGCTGCCCAGGTCACTCATTCACAGAGGTCAGATGTTTTACATGGAAGATGCTCCATGTAGAGCTGTTAGCACTTGTTGCTGCTTCTGGGAAGAGATGAAGCCCAGGCCCTGCACCTGAGGGTGCCAGTCACCTGTCTCCCAGAGAACCCCACATGTGATATGAGTAATGACTGAAGCCCAACTGTGTTATTTTCTCTGGGAGTGTCACTGGGGACTGGAGTGATGTCTAGTGGCTGTGCTTTCCCTCCGTCTTTCCTGTAGCCCTGGAAGTCATGAGGATGAGCACAATCTGTTCGTGTGTGGCAGGCACCCTTTGCTGACCCACTGGTCCCACATAGAGTTTATATGTCCTTTATCCTGTAAACGTGAAGTGCCTCGCTAACCCAGGCCATTCTGGTCATGGGACAAGAGTGACAGAGGCGGGTTTATTAAAAAAGGCTGCTCGATGCCCTCCCCACTGCTTGCTGCTGCTCCCCGTGTTCCTCCTGGGCACATGTGGTGACTGTCGTGGGTTTGCTGCACGCAGCGGACGTGGAAGTGGGGAGGGGGTGGCTGTTCTCATGAAAGAAGCCAATTTTTTTTTTTCTTTTTGAAAATAATTCAGCAAGAGCTTTTCAAGATTCTACATAGTATTTTGTTAAACGGTGAAACTCGTGAAGCAGCTCTCAGTTACATGGCGGCCATCGTCAATGCCAATATGAAGAAGGCCCAAATGCAGGTAGGAGTCCCCGAAATGCTCTCTGCTCCTTACTGGACCTGTTCTAGTTCAGTCTCAATGCGGCACGTTCTGGGATCCGGAAGACAGAATGGAACAAGACAGGCAAGCCTCCCGCTGTGTGGAGCCTGAGTTCTCTGCAGGGAGTAGTCATGCAAGCACAGTATTGCAGGCAGTAATGGAGTCTGTGATGGGTGTGCAAAGGGTTAGCGAGTACTTGTGGGGAGCTGGAAGAAAGGTAGAGGAGGGAATTGTATTCAGATAGCAGGGTGGCCTCTGTGAGTAGGTGGCATTTTATTAAAACCTTTACTGAGGAACCAGTCATCACAAATCTGAGAATAGAACCCTCTTGGTATATATGTGGTCTCAGAGCAGAAATGAGCCAGCTTTAACCCCAAGACACAGGCCTTGGTGACTGGGGGAAAACGGGCAGGTAAGAAAGAAGCCAGGGGCTTGAGACTACTCAGGGCCTATAGGTGAGGACTGTAGTACACTCACTGAAGAGTAGGCAGGGCTGTCACCAAGGAAACCACAGGGAATGGCGTCAGAGCAGACCTGAAGTCACGAGGATTTCACTGCTCATGCTAACAGAGGGGAAATTAAAAGTTCTAGATTATTATTAATAGTAAGTTCTCTGAAGTAAAAGAAGACAAGAATAGAGAGGGGCAGAACCCTGCGACTTGTGGTGCTGCTCACAATGTCTGCTGTGTCCATGCTGTTGACGTTGTCACTTGGTCTTGTCACTAAGCTCCCAAGAACTGTTCAGTCAGAAGAGATCACAAAAAATTCCATCAGGTTTTATGTGAGTTTACAGTTTCATAATGGCCCATGTTCACGGTTGACCTCAGCTACATGAGGTCTGTGAGTTAGTTATCCATATTTGATGTTTAGTTCTCTGTGCCTCAGTTTCTTCATTTGGCAATGGAGTTAACAGTGGCAGCTAACCAGTGGGCTTCTTATTTGGAAAGCATTAGATCAGTTCCTAGTGTGTGCTGGCCCCTCGGCTCTAGCCAGCTTCTTATGGTCAGCTGTCACATGGGAGTTGTGCTGGTGTTCTTGAGAAATAAGGAGGAGAAAGGAAGCTACATTTATTCTGTTTTTGCTTACTGACTGATTCTCTAAGTGTGAATTGTATCATATAGACTCCGGTTATTGCAGATGTCATCCATGGTCACCACACACCCTGACTTTGGGGCCTGGTCACATTTGAACGTCCCATCTGCTTTTATGGAAACTTGTGCCAGATTTGTACTTAACAGTTGTTTTAATCACTTTTGCCTTTGGTCACAGGCGGATGATCGGTTGGTGTCTACAGATGGCTTTATGCTGAACCTCCTTTGGGTCCTGCAGCAGCTAAGTACAAAAATCAAGTTAGAAACAGTGGACCCCACTTACATATTCCACCCGAAATGTCGGATTACTCTCCCGAACGATGAGACGAGAATAAATGCAACGATGGAGGATGTGAACGAGTGGCTGGCTGAGCTCTGTGAGTGATGTGTCTGCTGCTACGACACCTCTCTTTCATCTGATTGGCTCTGGGACATAGAGATGCCTAGTTAAAATTAACATAGTAAAATTTCTTCCTTGAATTTCTAAACATGAATATATAGAACAGATAGGTGGGAAAGAGAAGAAAAACAGCAACTTTATTGTGGAGATTTTGTGTTGTAGTAGTTGTAAATATAACTATTTTAAGGTGTGATGGTAATAATCTTGCTTGTTGGTAACATAGAATATATTATCAACCCATGTCAATTTGGTTTTTTTAATATTTTAAAATTATGTGTGGAATGAGATAAATTCCTAAGTACCTCAAAGTGGAAATACCATGATCAAATGTACACCTTCTAGAAAAGTAATTACTTGGTTCTCTTACTTCGTGTATGCCTATAACCCCAGGAGACTGAGGTAGGAGAATCACGAGTTCAAGGCCAGGCTGGACTGCACTGCAAAATCCTGCCTTATAAGACCAAGAAAAGAAAGAATTCGGTGTTGTTTAAACTCATTTCCTCAGTCTAAAGTGAATTCTGGCAGTATTTGACATAAAATTATATTACAGTTCTGTGGAAGGGGCAAGGGAGATGCACAGAGGATAATTAATGGAGCAGCAGTTGACTGGGCAGCATTCTTTTTCAGTCTTAGATTCCCTGTAGTGTCCAGGCTCGCTTTAAGTTTCTAGACTCAAGCAGTTCTCCTGCCTCGAAATCCTAAGTAGCATGACTGTGCCCTTGAAGCCCTGCAGCTGGTTAAGGGGTGCAGTTCCATAGGAGAAACACCCCTCAATGGTCTTCAGCACAGCAGGATAGCCATGGCCAGCAGTCGTTGATGTATATGTCATAAAAGCTGCAGAGGGGAGGGGATTTGGATGTCCCCAACACAGAGAAATGATCAGTGTTTGAAGTAGTCTGAGCCTGACATGCTGTGTTAAGTACAGACTGCCCAGTAGACGAGTCGGGTTGTCTGCTGGTTGAAAACTACCCCACATACAGGGGCTCGGGGAGGGGGGGGGGATGTACTGCACACCTTTAGTCTCAGCACTAGGAGGCAGAGGTGGAGTTCATGGACAGCTTGATCTACATAGAGAGTTCCAGGCTGGCCAGAGCTGCATAAAGAGATCCTGTCTCAAGAAACAACATGATATGAAAATTCCCCGACTGTGGAAATGGCTCATTTGGTCAGTAACGCGACGCCATGCAAGCATGAGGGCCTGAGCTCAGCTTCCCAGCATCCACACAAAAGCTGGGTGTGGCAGTCCATATCTGTTACCCCAACACTAGGTGGAAGGAGACAGGATGATCCCTAGATCATTGGCTGTCTAGCCTAGTCACTTGGTAAACTCTATGTTCAGTGAAATACTCTGTCTTAAAAATTAAGGTATAGAAAGACACAAACAACTTCACATACCAAATGCAGCCCCATGTCCTTACACCGCGCACACACACACACACACACACACACACACACACACACACACACACACACACACACACAGAGAGAGAGAGAGAGAGAGAGAGAGAGAGAGAAAGTATTCTTAACTCATTTTCCTTCAGAATAGAACGTTTTCCTTGTGGCTTATAATTGATTTTAGTTAAGGGTTCATGTTTTGCTTGTTTCTCTTCTCTTTTTCTAGATGGAGATCAGCCTCCGTTTTCTGAGCCAAAATTTCCTACGGAGTGTTTCTTTCTGACCCTGCACGCTCACCACCTCTCTATTCTGCCTAGCTGTCGTCGCTACATCCGCAGACTGCGAGCCATCCGAGAGCTCAATAGGTATGTGCCCCACACGATCTCTGTCTGGCATTGTGTTACTGCTGCCTCTTAGCACAAGCACGGCTGGGGTCAGTAGATCTGGGTGTAGACCGTGTGCATTGCATATGCCGTCGGCCTCTACTGCCCTGCCAGTGGCTCTCATTCGTCCAGTGTCCTTCAAGGTGACAAAGTGATGCAGAGGTTGATTTCTGAACCCTTGGTGTTTGTCTCTGTGTGTGGTCTCTAAACCTTGCCACTTGTTGTGAAGATTACCGGGCACCACTTTTGGAAGCCCCTGCCTTGACTTCATACCTTCTTGCCCTGGAATGTCAAACCCTGTTTTCCTGTGATAATCAAGGAAACACGCAAATCCCCCTTTGCCCTGTTGTCTCTATCTGAGGAGCCCGAACACTGGCCCCCAGCTCTAGCTGTCAGTCATCAAATCATTACAGCGGTTGCTGTGTTCTGTGTCCTGATGTTCTAGCTTCTGCAAACAAATGCACATCCTGGGAACAGGCATGGACTGGACAGGCCGTTGAAACCTCTTCCTTTCTGGGCTAGCGCGGTTGTCAGAGAGGCTATCTGTAACACGTATACCAGACCATTCACTCTAATGCTGACTCTGAAGATTCTTTTTGTTTGTGTGTTTGGTTTCTTGAGACAGGGTTCCTCTAGTTTCTCTGTCCTGGAACTCACTCTGTAGACCAGGTTGGCTTCGAACTCACAGAGACCTGCCTTTCTTTGCCTCCTTGCAGTGTTGGGATTAAAGGCGTGCACCATCACTGCCCAGTGACGCTGTAGATTGTTAAAAGCTTGGTTTCCACGTACAATTGTGCGGTTTGTAGATGGTCACAGTCCTTTTTCTTTTTTATACTTTTATGTTTTACTTCATTGGCTATAAAGTTTTGACTTGATTTATTAGATTTTTTAAAGACTGATTTAGTATTATTTGAGAAGCATGAGTGCTTTTCTCTCATGTTTGTCTGTGCAACACATGTGTGCAGTGCTCATGGAGGTCAAAAGAAGATAATAGATCTGGAGCAGGAGTTATACGTGAAGGTGGCACCATGTAGGTGCTGGGAAATTTACCGAAATCCTTTGTAAAGATCAACAGTGTTTCTAACCCCTGAGTCACCTCTCCTGTCCCAGGATTTTGCAGGTTTTTTTCTTTTTTTAAAGATTTGTTTTAATTTTATGTGTATAAATGCATTGCCTACATGTATGTATGTGCATGACATGTGTGTTTGGTACCCTTAGAGGCCAGAAGAGGGCTTTGGATCCTCTCAAAGTGTTGGTGCTGGAGATGGAATGCTAACTCCACCTACATATGGCGTCCAATGTGGGGCCCCTACATTCACATAAAACCTGAGTACGCTTTAAAAAGGTTCTAAACACACAAAAATGGGGCCAAATGTGGCTCCTGATAACCGTCTTTTCTCAGGTAGGCTTGATACTAACAGCAGAGGCACAGCTATTTTAAGTGGTCCTGATACCAAACACTTACATTGGGCCCATAAGCAAGTTGCACGGTCCTCAGTGGCAGCATGGCCCCAACAACTTCCCAAAGCTGGGGTGGTGAATGTAGCTCCTGCAAGGATGGCTGCCTACATTCTCTATTGTTTGTTTGCTTTTTGTAAGGAGTCTAACTTAGAGCCCTGGAACTCCCAGAGATCCACCTGCCTCTGAGACCACATTGTTGAGATTAGTGGTGTGCCTAACTTAACCTATTTTGTTTAATTCACAATATTTCATAGTTATAGTCAGGGTTGTATCTTGTTATATTTTCTGGCTGAATTGTGTTGTGGTCAGAGGATACGCGCTCTGTGTGATTTTTATCTAACTCACAGTATTTTAAAGTCACAGTAAGGGTTGTATCTTGTTACATTGTTCCATTTTCTAGCTGAATTGCACTTTGGTCAGAGTGTATGCTCTGTGTGATCTTGGGCTTTTGAAGCCAGCCATGCTTCTTCATCTCTTTCTCAAGTTTTCTTCATCCTAGCTAACTTTATTCACTTTTAATACCAGCCACTGACAGTTGAGGAAATAGCACAGTGGGTGAAGAAACTGGCCACCAAGCCTGGCAGTCTGACTCTAGTGCCAGATCCCCATTGTGGAAGGAAAGAACTGACCCCTTGCTAAGAGTTCTCTGCCCACACAATAAGCAAAATAAAATCAGTCACCAAGAGAGGTTTCTGTAAATGTCAAGCTGTGATTGTGTATGAGTGTATTTCTTCCTCTCTGGATAAGTGTCATTTGCAATCCCATAATTCCCACTGATGCCACTGGCCACCTTTGGTGCTGACAATATTGTGCCACTTGGAGATGCAGTGGTATGATGTGAGATATGTATGTGTATGTGTTTCATTTATGTCATTCACAGAAATCAATTTCTATTTCTAATATTCATTGATAATGCTAACATCTCATGTAATGCAGAGCAGGCTCACTGAGGAAGTGTCATATGACAAATTGGCATTAATATTCCAGGCTCCTTTAGTTTTGAGTACCTTGCAACTGGACTAGGTTATTGTCAATTCCAGTAGTTGGGCTCACTCTTTGAACCCCTCCCCACTATTCAAGAGTCTGTAGTGGGAACAGTGGTGACAGTGAACTTTGTCCCACACAGATGTTAGCATTGTTCTCAGTTGCTCATCAAGCATCCTCAGAATCCATTCCATACATAGGTGCAGGTACATTCCCACGTGACATTCCAAAGACGCTGTTCACACTCAAGGCCTAGAACTTGTGAATGTCACCGTACATGGTAAAGTGATCTGACAGACACCATCAACAGATCATCCTGATTCATCTGGGAGGGGCCCTTGTCATCACAGGGCTTTGTAAGGAGGGAATGACGTCAGACTAGAGGAAGAGCTGCAATGACATAAGCAGAGGTCAGAGTTACTGGAGTCAGGCGTTCAAGCTTGTACATAGCCCTGGCAGGAACAATGAGCGGGAAAACACACCCCCCTCTACAGCCTGCAGAAGGCCCTGTCTCTGCAGCCTTGCCTGACTCATTACCTCCAAATGCCAGCAGCACCTGGGTTCTGTTTCAAGTTCCTGACCTGGAGTACAGAGCTGATGCCACAGATCTTGCCGTGTTCAGACATCTGCTCCTCTCGCATAGGATTTTATAATCTCTGCAAAGCAGTGGTTGCTGACTGTTTTGGTTCTAGAGGTACTGAAGGGGGGGTATATGCTCAGACATCAGTCATCAATAAAGAAAATACCCACAGGCTTTCCCACAGGCCAATCTGACAAAGATATTTTCTCAGTTGAAGTACCCCCTACCCCACTTAACCCTGGCTTCTGTCAACTTGACCAAAAAAACAAAAAACAAACAAACAGAAAACCTACCCAGCACAGCCATGTGCTACAGGTTTTGTCCCAGGACTAGGGTACAGTGTCTTTATATAATCTGTTTGTGCCACTAGTGCCCTTGGAGGTCAAAGGAGGGCAGCATATGTCCTGGAACTGGAGTTAGAGGCTGTGTGAGCCACTGTGGTGATATTTTGTTTATGATATAGCTAATAAAGCTTGCCTGAAGATCATAGTGTAAAGCTAGCCACACTAGTTAGCCATAGAGGCCAGGCAGTTGTGGTACTCACCTTTAATCTCAGGATTCAGGAGACAGAGGCAGATGGATCTCTGTGAGTTCAAGGCCACCCTGGGCTACACCAGAGTGAATCTGTCTAAAAGAGAACTCACACAAAGGTGATCCCAGTAATTGGGATCATGTGCCTTTAATCCCAGTACTAAGGAGGTGGAGACAGGAAGGGACATGGCTGGGTGGAAAGAGGAATATAAGGTGGGGGGAGATGCCAGCTCACTTGGGAGCAATCTGAGGAATGGTGCCATCAGTCTGAAGCAGTAAGGTCTAGGCAGTCTGAGGACAGGACTGCCTCTGTGGTCTGAGCATTATTAGAGGTGAGGATTCTAGTGGCTGGACGATTTGCCTCTCTGATCTTCAGCTTTAACCCTAATGTCTGTCTCTGGGCTTTTATTATTAATACCCAATTAGAATTTGTGCTATAAGCCACCATGTTGATGCTGAGAACTGAACCTATGTCCTTTGCTGGAGCATGATTTGTTACTGGCCATTGAGCCATCTCTCCAGTCCTTGGATGTGACATTGTTAAAAGAAGCCATTATTCTGTCTACTGTACTCATATTCTAGTCTAGCCCAAAGAATCCAGGTGTTACAAGATAATGAGAAAGGGAAGTGTGGAGTGTTTTGTTTTTGAACTCTGGCATAGTGGGAAGGACGCTTTGACAGGGAAATCACTTCTGCCTAGCAGTGGGACCTCTGCCATAGCCTCAGCCCAAACCCCTCTGCCCCATGCTTTCAGAATTCTCCTGCAAGTGCCCTGATAAAAGGGATTCTGCCTTCATGAGAATCGTCAGTTTAGGAGTCAGGGAACTGTGATGTTAGACCTTCAACTATCTGAGTTTCTACACAATATCGTGAGGAGATTGTGGGACCCTGGGAAGTAAGCAAGTGTTTAATATTGGCAGCGTGTTAGGTGATGATGGTGGTCCCTCCGTGATAGATGTTCGAGCCGTCACCTACAAGGGACCGAGGCAGCCACAGGGAGGACCAGCTAAGGACAGAAGGAAGCCATTTGCTTTGGCAGTTGATGAGGCAGAATTGCTTAGAATTTTCACACGGACAATCTTTTAACCTCTCAGAGCAGCAGGGTAACTAAGAAGATGATATTTCATCATGTCTCAAGTGTGTTTTTTGCCCAGGGGTTGGTGGATGTAAACAGTGGACGGATGTCTCACCATGTAGCTCTGGCCTTGAACTCACAAAGATCTTACTGCACCTGCCTCCCAGGTGCTATGATGAACATTCTTTAACACACATAGCGGATCCCTGAGTTCAAGACCAGCCTGGTCTACAGAGTGAGTTCCAGGACAGCCAGGGCTATACGGAGAAACTCTGTTTTGAAACACCCCTACCCCAAAAGACACATTATTGTTATTATTAATGCTGTCAATTAAACCAGAACTTACAGTGGGATATGATCTGGTTTTTATTTTTGTTCTGAGACAGGATCTCACCATGAAACTCTGTCCGTCTTAGAACTTTCTATGTAGAGCAGGCTGGCCTCATACTCACAGAGAACTGCCTGCCTGTGCCTCCCATAGCTCCACTTTCTAAAATACTTGAAATGGGAAGAGAATTATATCAGGGAGTCTGTGAAGTGAATGGGTAAAGTGCACTGGGTATTTTCTTTCATTTGATTGTTAGTATGTTTTGTTTGTTAATTTCAGAACCGTGGAAGATTTGAAAAACAATGAAAGCCAGTGGAAAGATTCCCCACTGGCCACCAGACACCGAGAAATGCTGAAGCGCTGTAAGACTCAGCTTAAGGTTTGTATGGTTTCTCGGCACAGTTTTGGACTGGCCTCTTGGTAGTGATAGTTGTACCAGCATAATGAGCAGGTGTTTGTCCTTCTTTTCTCATTGTTCTTTTCCCTGAAGGTAAATTAGAATCATTTAAAACGTGTTGATACTTTGCATATTTCTGTATATAATTATTTAAATCCCAGTAGAGGATACATGTATGCTTTACCGTGAATTCTTAGTGTTGTCATTCTTGATGTAACCTCTCCTCCCTTTCCCAACCTTGTGAAAGACCCTTCAGCCCTCCACATTCCTGCTCCAGTACACTCAGCCACACCGTGTTCAACAAAGCACATGGTGGTAGTAGATCTCTTTCACTTGCCCCTTGTTTTTCATTTCTAATTGAAAACAATCTATTACATGGAACCTAATTGAAAATGGAAAGGTCCCTGCTGGTGGGGCTCTGCTAAGCACCGGCATTGGGAAGGCAGAGAAGCACCTGTGTACACTCTCTGTGCTTATGCTCAGATTATAAAGCTGTTAGCTGCTCGTGCTTAGCGGGATTACAGAGAAAAGTATCTTTGATTCTTTGACAAGCTAAAATTTCAGGTTTTTGCTTGCTAATAGGCCAGACTGCTTTTAAGATACAAAATAGTGGCTCCTGCCTATACCTCCAGCAGATGGGAGTTCAGCTATGAGTTTAAGGCCAGCCTGGGCTACAGGATGCAGAATAAGCCAGGGCTCCCCTTTCAGCTCTGTAGCTCCTTTATATTCCAGTTGTGTTCAAGGGATCTGTCATAAGCTGGTGGACCCCACCTATCACGCATGTGCTTCTGTGTTCTCTTTCCCAAGGCAGTCCTAGTGGGCAGACATTTTGTTTGAGGGTAGTACATAAATGGTAGTGTTGAAATGCAGATACAATTTGTCTGGCTCTTTTCCACTGAGTGTCTGCATGCCCAGAGGGCCTCCCTATCAGCCCCATCACCCATCCAAGTTACTGAGAATTGGTATCAGTGCCTAACCTCAGGCACTGTTTGGGTACGGTCCTTTATTATGCTCAGTGGTTTGCATGGCATACCTACCTGTTACTTTTTTTTTCTCAGGAAGAAGAAAGGTCTTGACACAACAGTCAGTGTCCTGTAGGTAGTTAGAAAGTTCTGGAGATTGTAGAGCCTAGATGCCTTAGCTCCTGGCCCCTCTCCCTGCCTAGTCACAATAGGGGTCTTGGTTCCAGACTAATCTATGGGCGGGGGCACACCTACTTCCACAGAAACTGGTACGGTGCAAGGCCTGTGCTGACGCTGGCTTACTTGACGAGAGCTTCCTGAGAAGATGTCTGAATTTTTATGGCCTTCTCATTCAGCTGATGCTGCGCACCCTGGACCCTGCCTATCCCGAGTGAGTGTGTCTTCCCTCTGCCGAGTCCCACTGTGCTCGCTGTGTCGTCCTAACTGTTCTTCAGTCATGACTAAAGCCAAACCCTTAACCTTGCAGGGATTTGCGTTTCATTTCCAGGATTATATTTATATTACATAGACTGTGAAGCAGTATTAATATTTCCCTGTGTGTTTTTTAATTGGTGGCATGTTAAAAACTTTGCTATAGCACTGGATGGATAGAAGAGCAAATCTATGGGTCGTGCTATGATCTGCCGGCCGTTGGTGGTGCACACCTTTAGTCCCAGCACTCGGGAGGCAGAGGCAGGCCGATCTCTGTGAGTTTGAGACCAGCCTGGTCTACAAGAGCTAGTTCCAAGACAGCCTCCAAAGCCACAGAGAATCCCTGTCTTCAAAATCCAAACAAAACAAAGAAAAGAAAAGAAAATCTATAAATTAGAAGCACAATGCTAGAGTTAACAGCCTACTGAATCCTCCTGCACACCAAGTCCAGGAAAGCCAGACATTGATAGTTATGGCTGTTTTATGTTCGTTATGAACTCCTGGATCACAGATATTGCTGAGGTTTGGCCTGCACCCCTAAGAGTGGGAAGGTTATATAAGATATACGCATGGCTTGTGGGCTGAGTTTGAGTTGCTCAAAATGACCAAATACGAACCTTCGAATGCTTCCCATTTTAGCTACTGCCTTACCTCTAGCTGGCAATTCTGATGAGGTCAACACTAAACACACCAATGAGCCCATCTTCTTCCTCCTCTCCTCACGGTTGTTTGCCTATGTCCCTTTTACACAGTTGGGTTATACAGTAAGGGCTCCTCCTTCCAAACGAGCTATTTAGCAGTGTAGTGCTCCTTGTCATCAACACGTTGTAAATTGTACTTTTTTTCCCTTCTACAGCATAACACTGCCTTTAAATTCAGATGTCCCCAAGGCATTTGCAGCATTGCCTGAGTTTTATGTAGAAGATGTTGCTGAATTTTTATTTTTTATTGTACAGTAAGTACCTCACATAATTTATTGCTCTGCTTGTCCACTGTACATGCTGCTATGAGCTGTGTTTCGAGCCTTCATTTAAGCGTGGGGTTGTATAACTTCCTTTACTCAAATGCTGCTTAGAAATTGGAGATTTAAACATGTTCAGTAGCAGTCAAGTCCAATACCATCTCCAGGACAAAAGCAGATAAGCAGTATAGTTGGCCAGCTCTGTGAAACGAGCTGCTGCTTTGAAGTTGAATGTGTTCTAGGCCAACCAGGTCTGCATAGTGAGGCCAGCCAGGTCTGCATAGTGAGGCCAGCCAGGTCTGCATAGTGAGGCCATCCTTCAGACAGCAGAACAGCAGAAGACTGTGCCCAGACAGGCCCAGTTGATAGTAATACCTGGATTTTGAATGGCAAGAAATTTAAATGCTGATTAAAGTTTAGTTGCTGGGTAAATCCAGCATTAGAATTTAAGTAACTTGGGTCTGGCGGTGGTGGCTCATGCCTTTAATCCCAGCAGAGGCAGTCAGAGTTCAAAGCCAGCCTGGTCTACCTAATCAATTCCAGGACAGCTAGGGCTGTTACACAGAGAAACCCTGTCTTTAAAAAACAAAACAAAAAAATAATTTAAGTAGGTTGAGTCATTTATTCCAAGCACAGTAATATAATTTTTTAAATTGCATGTGTTTGTTCCTATGTATGCATGGGCACCTTGCATGCTGTCAAGCTCCTCTTTGTGAGAACTGGTCCTCTCCTGCTGCCATGTGGGTCCTGGGGACAAAACTGAGGAGTCAGGCTTCACACTGAGTGCCTACACCTGCTTCAGCATCTAGCTGGCTCTAGAAAGTTTCAGGTTAGACATTAACTCCATCAAAACCTTTTTAAAGCTCAGCATGGTCATGCATTCCTGTAATCACAGTAGTCAGGAAGTGGAGGCAAAAGATAGATAACAAGTTCAAAGCCAGCCTATGCAGTGAATTTGAGACCAGTTGGAGCTATTTCAAACACTGTCATTTGAATAAACAAATCTTCCCACCACCATCATCATCATCATCATATTGTTTTGTGTGGTTGGGTCATGCTCTGGCTTTCTAAAGTGCAGTTAGCAAAGCATGCTGCAGCCAGCACACACGTTTGTCTTTTTATCTGTGTCGTTCCAGTGTGCATGTCCCTTGTACCATCCAGAGGGAACCAGCGTCTGTCCACCACTGTGCCCTGTCCTTCCTTCCTGCCTGTCTAACAAAATCTCCCGTGGTTCCCGGCAGCTCATGGAGTGTCCTTGTCTCTCTTCAGATATTCTCCTCAGGTGCTTTATGAGCCCTGTACTCAGGACATTGTTGTGTTCCTCGTTGTGATGCTGTGCAACCAGAACTACATCCGAAACCCATACCTAGTGGCCAAGCTGGTGGAGGTCATGTTCATGACCAATCCCTCTGTCCAGCCTCGGACTCAGAAGTTTTTTGAGATGATTGAGAACCATCCTCTCTCTACCAAATTGCTGGTACCTTCCCTCATGAAGTTCTATACAGGTAGGTTCTCAAGTGTACCTTCTGGCGTGCAGTCATATAGCACACAAGGTTGTTTCAGAGTGAACTTAAACCAACACCTGTGACCTAAAATCCATAAATAGACAGATAGATAATCCTGCCTTCTAGGCTCTGGCATCTGCTTATGCCAGCTCAGCTCAGAGCGTGGGCTGTCCTGTGTCTTCTCCCCATGTGTCTGAGAGACGACAGGGGCGCTGTGTTTGCTGGCTTCTGATGGTTCAGCAGACTCCAGTAGCCCAAGTTGGTGTTTTCATTTGAGTAAAATTACCTGGGTCATTTGCCTTTGAATTTATAGCATTTGATATGTAGCCCCATCCTGTAATTGAGTTTCCAAACTGGATAAAGTGGGGGGTTTGTTACAAATGTTCAAGGTCATCCTTGATAGCAAGTTTGAAGCTACCTTAAAACTACTCAAAACAACAAGAAAAAGTTCACTAGATCTCATCCAAACCTGTGGAATTTGGATTCTGGGGTCCTTTGGGTGCTTTCCCTCATTCATTAGTTTATCCCACTTACTGAGACCCTGACACTGGTGGGTGCTGTTCTCTGTGCCCAGTTATACTTGAAAGTGATAGGACATGGAAAATGTCCTTCAAGGACAGCCTCCCCTTCTGCTCAAATTGTATTCCACCTTTAGACTTTCTTTAAAACTTGGCTTTTGGGCTGGGCAGTGGTAGCGCACACCTTTAATCGCAGCACTCCAGACACAGAGGCAGGAGGATCTCTGTGAGTTCAAGGCCAGCCTGGTCTACAGAGTTGAGTTCCAGGACAGCCAGGACTGTTTTGTAGAGAAACCCTTTCTTTCAAAACAAAACAAAACAAAACAAAAAAAAAAAAAAGAAAGAAAGAAGAAAAGAAAATTTGGCTGTTGAACTGTCTCCTAAGAAAGGCACAAAATTGTGCTACTGAAATAGTTTCACAGTATGTGTGTTTCTTGTGTCCTATCTTCTCATCGTCTAATGAATCTGGCACATTCTGGCCACCTTGTAAGTATCTGGCATTCAGTAGACTATAAGGTCCACAAGAGTCTGTTAGAGGGTCTATAGGATGGGGACAGTCACTCACTGATACAGAACCAATTGGATGCTACTGCTGATGGAGCTGCCTTTGTCCAGTTGTTCTGCCCAGGGGTGAAGAGCACAAACCAACAGCATGCTGCCTCCCAGCCACCCAAGAGACTATAGCATGAGAGCAAGGAGAGCTTGACCCTCTCCCACAGCTTTTCAGATGTCACCTCATAGGCAGACAAGGCCACACCCCTAGGGCTTGCTGCCCCCCAAAATCATTGGCTAAACTGATTAAAATCCCACAATGCTTCCCCACTTTTTCTAAATAAGAAGGTTTAATTGTAACATAAAACTATTCACAGAGCCGGGCGGTGGTGGCGCACGCCTTTAATCCTAGCACTCGGGAGGCAGAGGCAGGCAGATCTCTGTGAGTTTGAGACCAGCCTGGTCTACAAGAGCTAGTTACAGGACAGGCTCCAAAGCCACAGAGAAACCCTGTCTCAAAAAATCAAAACAAAACAAACAAAAAAATCCAAAAACAAAATAATCTTGAACCAAGTAGAAACATATATGTATATATATAATATGACAAAGATAATTTTACATTGCATCAATATACAAAAATATTATAAGCCGAAGTGTAAGGGGAAATCCTGGTTAGAGGTACTGTGCCGTGGCTTTACAGGAGTAGGAACTTATACAATGTTACAAATATAATTTTGAACTTGTAACAGTATAGAAATTATCTTAAACAGGAATAGGAAAATAATTATATAAAACTGATAGTTGCTATTTTAATTTACAAGTAGATACAATAATCCACCATACTGTCCTATCTTATCTTCCCCTCTTTTTTTCAGTTTTAAATGAGATTCCTGAGTCTAATATTTATTATTTAGGGCTTGCTGTCCCAAAAGTCATTGGCTAACTGGATCAAGACCCTACAACCATAGACCTCACCATTTTCTATAGAGAATACGGTAGCTTGCGACACACGCCCTTGCTGTTGACAGGGTCACCTGCTTGAGGATGCTCAGTGTTCGGGGACAGTAGTTGCCCTCTGCCTGTTTGGACTCTGTTAGCGGTTTCTCCCAACTTCTAATGGGGGTCCCAGAGCCCAGCCTCCTGCTCTCCCCGAAATACTGTTGCTTTGTTCCTTCTGACAGGAGCTTCTTCCCAGCCTACTCAGACTCTGAAGTCTAAAGCAAGCTCGCTTTGTCTTGGATATTTTGTTAACATCGTTTCTATGGAGACAGTCCAGTCCACTGATGGATAAAAGGCCCTTTTGGGGATATAAATCCTTTGATCTCATAGCCATGGCCAGGGTTAGCTTGGGATATTTAGGTACAAATGATTCCTTGTGTGCATTCAGGACAGGTGTAACGCACTGTAGGTTAGATTCCAGCCTGTTCTACATAAGGACTTCTAGGCCAGTCAGGGGCATATAGTGAGACCCTGCCTCAAAAAGAAAAAGTATAGAAAATGCCAAGTAATAACTACATTCCACGGGAGATACATATTAATATTTAAACATAAATTTTTGTTAAGTATAATTAGTATTCAGTTGGTGGTCTGGGTCTGTTACAGCAGCTTCATGTTAAGTGTGTGTGTGTGTGTGTGTGTGTGTGTGTGTGTGTGTGTGTGTGTGTGTGTGTTAGAGATAGAGTGTGTGCTAGAGAGCACACTTGAGAAGCATGTGGGTGGGTAGGTATTATTTGCTCTTTTCCTTTGTCACGGAGCAGTGTGCCCTCTGGACTGAGCCCCCTTTGTAGTCATGATAGGCGATACGTTTCCTAAAAATAGTTGCCACTCATGGTCAGTGTTCATTTGATCTACATAGCTGTTGCAGAGATATGTACTATAAATACTTGCATTTTACAGCTGAGGAAACTTGAGCTTAGAAAGGTCAAGAGGCTTGCTGAAGGTTAACGGCTAGTGAGTGGCAGGTGCCCAGCAGCTGCGTGCCATCACAAGTGTGCCTGGCTGCTCTCTTGTTCTTTCATGGTTGCAAGAGCTTTGTCCCCGCAAAATGCCTCCCGTAGATTCCCCCACAGGTCTGCCCAGCACCCCACCAAGGTCTGCCCATTAGATCTTGTCCCTGAACAGCCTGCCCCTAAGAGGGGACTTAGAGTTGAGGATAGATTGCTGGAGCCAGCACCTCTTGGACCACAGAGCAGCAGTTTACTTAGGAAGCCTTTATGCACCGTCTTGTTTCAAAAAGAAAATTAGACATCAAATCCTAGGACAGGAAGGCTCTGGGTACAGCTAGACATATTCAAGGCTTCTCCTTCCCCAGAGCTGGCTGGTGGCACAAAGCCTGCATCCAAGGCAGCTTCTATCAATAATGCAGCAAATGTTTGTGGAAGAACTACTGTGGGTGGCAGACATGGAAGATTCAGAAGAGTAGGAGACGGTAGGTGTGAGAGATGTGCTACCTCAAGAAAGGTGATTGGGGAAGGTCTCTGAGGAAGTGCTGTGGATCTCAGCCGCAGAGTGACAGAAACGTGAGCATCAGAGATCTCAGCCACAGAGTGACAGAAACGTGAGCATCATTAGATCACAGCCGCAGAGTGACAGAAACGTGAGCATCATTAGATCTCTGTCACAGAGTGACAGAAACGTGAGCATCAGAGATCCCTGTCACAGAGTGAAGAAACGTGAGCATCAGAGATCTCTGTCACAGAGTGAAGAAACGTGAGCATCAGTAGATTTCTGTCACAGAGTGATAGAAACGTGAGCATCAGAGATCCCTGTCACAGAGTGAAGAAACTTGAGCATCAGAGATCTCTGTCACAGAGTGAAGAAACGTGAGCATCAGAGATCTCTGTCACAGAGTAAAGAAACGTGAGCATCAGTAGATCTCAGCCGCAGAAAAAGAAGGCAGTAAAATGAACCTGGAAAGAAGGCAGGAAGAATGCGTGCTTAAGCTAGACATGGTGGCGCACGCCTTTAATCCCAGACTCAGGAGGCAGGAGGATCTCTGTGTTCCTGGCCAGCCTGGTCTACAGAGAGAGTTCCAGGACCGCCAGAGCTACATAGTTAGACCACCCTGTCTTGATGAAAAAAAGAAGCCTTGCTCAGACAGGGCAGGGCTTGTGAGGTTAGCAAGGGTCAAGTCCATTTAAGGACTAAGCCTTGGTCATTAGAACCAGGGTAGAGAAATTTTTGAGGAAACATTAGGAGAAATAAGACGTAAGTGTTGGGAGAGATGGAACTGGTATGCAGTGAGCTAACAACAGTAGCTTAGCTTGGGGTGTGTCTGGAACGCAGCCCAGAATGGGGCGGCTTTAGATGACAGTGTAGCTGTGCTGGCCTCCAGTTTTCTGTCTTTTGCTAGCTTTGCTTGAGTCACTGCTGGCACCTTCATTCTCACTTTCCCATAATAAAGTGGCACTTGGTTCATCCAGAGAAGAGTTGGCTTAATGAGTCTACATAAATACTTTCAGATCTTAGCATGGGAGGGTTATCTTAGTCCTTTTCCTTTATCATTAAAAAACTGGTTTTCCTCCTGCAAAATACAGACTTTGGAAAATACAGAAAATAGGAAGAAAGGCAGGGTTGGTGTGATCTGTACCAGGCTCTGGATTCAACCCCCAGCAAGGCAAAGACATTTATCAAGCAGGATTTAAAAGTCCTACATTATGTATGTACGTAGAGTCTGTGTAATAACTTCACTACAGATGTGCTGTATGTTTTAATTTTGGGGTGTCTGTGTTGCATGAATGGAGGTCAGAGGACAAATTGCATGTTCATTTCTGTCCTCCCAGCATATGGGTCCTGAGGATTGAACTCTGGTTTTCAGACTTGGTGGTGAGCACTTCTTACTGAACCATCTTGTTGGCCCCCAGTCACTTTTAAAAAGCTGTTGTTATACCCAAGCTGTACGTTTGTTTTTGTAATCTCTGCTTTTCAGCCATTGTGTGTAATGTTGTCTCTTTAGACACTTAGATTCTTAATTTTTTTCTAGTCAGAAACAGTATTTGTGTGCATTAGTAGAGCAGTTACCCAGCATCTCAACACCCTGGGTTCAATCCCCATCATTGTAAAAGTAAAAATAGATGTAGTTTTTTGTTGGGCATGCTTGGAAGTCGGTCTTTGTAAAAACCTGTGAATGTTTTGTGCAGTAGAGTCAGAGGCCAGTGGAAAGTATACTAATTGTGCTAAAGTTTGCAAAGTTGTTGTTAGAGTTGACACAGTCTCATGTACCCAGACTGGCCTCCAAACTGCTGTGTAACAGAAGCTGGCTTTGAGCTCCTGACCTTCCTGCCTCTCAGTGCAGGGTTACAGGCGTGTGCCACCACACCTGCTCCCAAATTGTCTCCAGAAAGTTTGTGTCACTTTGTTTCCTCCAGAATGTGCAGTGTGCCCGTTTTCCCAACACCCACCTCTTTTCAGCCTTACTATTATCTTTTGCTTGTTTTTGTTTATTGAAACAGGGTTTCTCTGTGTTACAGCTCTTGCTGTTCTGTAACTTGCTCTGTAGACCAGCCTGGCCCCTCTCCACTCCTTCCTGTGTGTCTTCTCTGTCCATATTCCTGGCTTCTCTATGTCTAATTCTGGTTAGTTAGTCACTGGCTTCTCCCTGATTCAAGGTTAACATTATTATTACAGTCTTGGGTGTCATTGAGTGCTGGGATTAAAGGCTTGTGCGACCATCACCCAGCCAGTCTTATTTTTTTTTTTATGTCTGCCAATAAGCAATGCTTCAAAAGGTAGCTCGTTTTAATTTCCCTTTTATGTCTTTGTTAATCCTAATGTAGTTTTTCATGCTTATGATAATTAGCCATTTGCATAACCAGGTTTGGTTTTCACTGTCTTCTGTGACGGGGGTACCAATGACATGAGCCATGTGGGCAGTCACTGTACCTCTCTCTACTTTAGAGTCTGCTTGGAAAATGTGTCTGATATAAACATGTCCAAAATAATAGACATGTAATAAGTACATAGAAAATATTGCCTGTTTTTTTGTTTGTTTGTTTGTTTGTTTTCTGCCTAGAGATACACATATGAACCTGCTATGGAGTTTCCTTAAACCAGCAGCTTTAAATGGGGCGAAGACGTGATAAATTAGCATTTACCATTGTTGATAATGTCCCAGTGATGCTGACTCTCTCACACTCTTACAGATGTTGTATCCATTGCAGACTTTGATCATGAAACCTTGGTCTTTAAAATCGGGTTATTGGAGGAGAGGTATACTTTAATCCAAGCACTCTGGGAGGCAGAGGGAAGTGACTCTCTGTGGCTTCCAGGTTGTCCAGGGCTAACTAGTGACACCCAGTCTTTTAAAAAGAAGAGGAGGAGAGAAGATGAAGTCATAATTTCTCCTATGCCTCCCGTATGAGACACAGGCAGCATTTCACCAGCTCTTCCTGTCATTGTCCTCGTGGAAGTCAGACAGGACATGTGTCTGATTTGGTTCCCTTTGTCTTCCCTCCTCAGATGTCGAGCACACTGGAGCCACCAGTGAGTTCTATGATAAGTTCACCATTCGTTATCACATCAGCACTATTTTTAAGAGCCTTTGGCAAAACATTGCTCACCATGGCACTTTCATGGAGGAGTTCAAGTGAGTATTGGGCCCTGATGGCACAGCTTGGTCTCTGGCAAATGACAGGTGGGAAACTGCTAGAAGCTTTCTCAGAGGTTCCTGTGGCTGTTTTCTTGGTTTCAGCTCCCGCAAGGAGCTGCTCTGTGTGGCCACTTCTGTGATTGCCTGCTTACTTACAGTTGTCAACTCTAGGCATGACTGACATGAGGGAATGGTCAGGGGAAACTCACATGTGAGGTGGTGCTGTTAAATGACATTGTCAGATTGACCCAGAAATGTTGAGAAACAAGATTTAGAAGCACTTAGGTTAAGGTTGCCAGTAATGTTCATTTGGTGTGCTCCTGTGGCAAGCCGTGTTAATAACACTTCATGAGCTGCCGTGTGTTTTCTACCCCTAAGCGCAGTTGGGGCTTCTCTTTGCCATGAATCTGTCAGTTTCAGAATTTAACAGGTAGGCCTGGCTATTGCGGCTCATCAGTAAGTCCCTTCATTACAGTGTAGTTGACAGGGTCTCCTTGGACATGAAGCTTTGGCTTCTATGGAATGAGTTGCTGTCTTCCTACATCAGTGTTACAGGACCTATTTTTCTTCAGTGAATCTTCTTTGTGAGAAGGAATAACTTTACCAGTACTTTCTTGTCTTCTGTGTTTGGGTAATTGTGCTGGCTTTGTCACACAGAGTCAAGCTCATTCCCTTTCCAACATGGAAGAGTGTGCCCTCCACTAGCGAGCCAGTGCTGTGCTGGGAGCCCCTCCAGCAGGAGCAATCTCAACATTTGCTACTTTTCCACAGTGTAACTATATAAATTGTTGCCAAATATAAACTGCCAAGGAAATCAGCTCAGAATGTGGAATATCTAGCAGTTGGTTCATACTAGCCACACGGGGCTGGCCTGGCATGCCACTAGAAGGAGCTGATCACAGTCAATTAAAAGAATAGTAGGGCTGGAGCTTGGCCCGTGTCTGATGTCCTAGCTTTGTGATGCTGAGGCAGGAAAGTAGTTTGAGATCAGCCTGGGCTGTGTAAACCCTTCACAAAACAAAGCAAAAGAACAGCAACCAAAATCTAAGGAGTCCTTAAACTAGTGTCTGCGCCAAGATCTACAGTCCCCTGGGCGATCTGTTGGTACTTGGTGGAGGCTCACTTTCTCATTGACCAACCAAATGTGTAACCACACCGTGTCTCATTGCCCTTTCAGTTCCGGGAAGCAGTTCGTTCGCTATATCAATATGCTGATAAATGACACGACCTTCTTGCTGGATGAAAGTCTGGAGTCACTGAAGCGGATCCATGAGGTGCAAGAGGAGATGAAGAACAAAGAGCAGTGGGACCAGCTGCCTCGGGTGAGCGCGGCTGCGGTGCTCACACAGCGCTGTGGTCTGACTGGGGACTAGCTCCTGGGTTGCAGCTACAGGGCTGCCTGCAGACACTGGATCTGACTCAAGGCTGGGGCATTCCTGCCTGCAGGCTGCTATGAAGTAACTTTTCAGGGTTAAGATAGGAGACAAACCTCTTAAAGATGTTTATCAGAAGCTGAGAATTGGGTGGAGGCTGTGGCTCAGTGATACGGTGTTTGTCTAGCATGCCTTAGGTCCTCCTGCATTTGAGCCCCAGTTCTGTCCCCCCAAAAAAGTTCACTCTCTGCTTGAATTTCAGGCAAGGATGTTCCCTACTGTACTAAGACTGGCTATCAGGCCTTTCTTCAAAGCCAGACTCTCATTGTCAAAAGTAATCTGGTGTGGAAAAGTGGAGCAAAGGCAGAGTACTCACTGCTCTTCCAGAAGACCCAGGTTCAGTTCCCAGCACCTTCATCAGGCAGCTCACAGCTGCCTTTAAGTCACTTCCGAGGAGCTGGCCCCCTGGGACTCCTGCCACAGGAAATGCACATAAACAGAGGCACACACAGACTCATATGTGTCAGTATATACTATCAAAGGGTGAAGCTAAACTCAGCAGTAGGACACAAGCTTACCCTGAGGGGACATTCTAGATTCTAAAACTCACACCAAAATATTTTTAAAATAAAATAAAATCTTAAATCCAAGAAATGAGGAGCCTTTCCCAAAGTACTATGGACACTTCCCTGCCTTTTCATTTAAAGGTCTGTGTAGAGGAATGTTTAATTATATACATTATGGCTTTTGACTTGTGTGGTAGCCAGGAAATAAACCTCCAGGCTTCTGTCTGCTAGGCAAATTGGCCTTGTTTCGGGCTTCTGTACATATCTGAGAATCTCCTAGGATTCTCTTGGAGCCTTTTCCTTTCTATTGATCTTTGCTTTCATTCACATTCGGTTACTATTAGAAAAAAGGCCTAGTTGCCAGGTTCTGTAAGAAATTCATGCTCTACCAGTGACAATACACTGCCCTTCTCTGACACCTAGTAGGCCCTGACAACTCCTGAGAATGTCATAGCTGGATTGGCTCAGAGTCAAAGCCACTTTCCATGGGGTTCTGCCCCTTTGAGAGACCTGTGGGGCCTGAGCTCACAGTGACAGTTTTGACGCCCTGTAGTAGAGTCAGCAGCATCTTCACTGTAGGACACTGAAGGACATTTAAGGAAACCTCTGTGTCTGTGTCTCTGTCTCTCTTAAAGTGAGGTCTTGCTATGTGACCCTGGTTCCTGGTTGGTCTGGAACTCACAGAAGTGCCCTTGCCCGCCCTCTGATGGCCAGTATTAAAGGTGTGTGCAGTCACCCCAGTTTAGGGAAGGTTTTCATCACAAGCATCCCTGCAGCTCTGATGGGAATTTCACATCTTGTTCCTTCCATGGGGTTCTGTCTGTGGGTCTATGAATGCCTGTTGTCCCCTCTATCCATGTCCCCACAGCCCTTGCCTCTGACGCTGTTGAGACAATGCACTTTTTCCATTGGACCATGTGTTGTCCCACTGTGTGTCTCCTGCCCATTGACTCCTGGTTCATTTCTAAATGCTCTTCAGCTATTTTGCTCCCATTTCGCTGGGGGCGGGGAGATAGAATCTACACAGGCCTACTGCCCCATACCTTCCTAGTGAGACCCCAGGGGATTCTTGTAGTCCCACCCTCCAGTCAGTCTCCAGACTGTTGAAACCATGCTGAGGAACCAGACAAGGCAAAGCCTAAAGAGCCTCAGCTCTTGTGTTAAGGTGGTCTGGGTCTGTGGCCTGCTGGGACACTATAAGCAGTAGCCCAGGACAAACCTGGCCCTTGGTGTACAGTGTTGTAGTTTTTCATGGGTCTTCCCAAACATCATGCATCCTGTCCTTAATTTATTTGTTAGGCTACTCCCACTCTGTCCAAACCCTGCTGAATGGTGGCTGTCCCTAGCTAGTGTCCTGCACAGTCCCTGCCTCCCTCTTTTCAGTGCTTGCAAGCCCTCCTCCCATGGTGTTGAGTGGAGACTGGCTAATTTCTTAGAGGTTGGACTCTGGGCCTGAAGTACATTCACTTTGTCCAAGTCAGTGCGTGTATTTGAGGCAACAAGTAAATACTATTGATTCTTCTCTTAAAGGATTTTTTTTTTTAAAGTACAAATGATCTCTAAGGTATCTTTTCACAAGCTTTTCCTTGACCCTTGACCCTGAGGTTGCTAGCTGCCTTCCACTTCCTCATCCCCTAGCTTCTGAGCAATGGTAGCTTCAGAGCTCAGTCCTTTGTTTGTTCTCAGTGTTTGCCCCTGGGTAGTGTTTCTCAGTGAGGTACCAGTGGGATGCTGAAGTGTGTTGAAGCCATGATGTCTGATGTTATAGCAAGCTCTATAACAAGAAACTGTGCCTGACACTGTGTTCATTAACACCAGTGGGGTGTCTGTCCGGGCTAGCCTGTCTGTCGTCATCACACCCCAACACCCCCATGCACACATGCACACACCTACCCCCCCTCCTCACACACCTACCCCCCTC